TTATTTGGAAGCTGTCCGCTGACCAGTTAATTGTTTTACTAGATCGCGAACAATGTTCAATCTCATACTTTTACTAGTTAAACTGATAATGCACACATATTGGACATCAATGTTTTGATCAATTGACAGCTGTCAAAACAGGATACCCGCTGACCAGTATCACTTGACCGTATCGCGGGCTCAGGTGTCGACCCATTGAGGTCAAGTATTTTTTTGAAGTTATCCGCTGACAAGTTACTAGTTTTCAAGTGATCGCAGGCTCAAGTTCAAGTTTTTTCTAAATTCATATGAAATATGTTGTGTTTATGTGCTACACAATTAAAATTTTGATTGCAAACTGACCTCGGACGCGAAAATTTAGCCAGCTGTTACAGGCAGGGAAGACAGTTGCTTTTGACTTTTCTCACCATGGGTCACGCGTTGGTCACGCTCTACGTCCAATTTTTATGCTCTGATTGGTCAAAATTTGACAGTTGAGTTCATGCGCAAAATTTATGCAGCATCTTGAATCTTGTTTACTTTAACAGCTGAAGCTGACAGAGTTTTGTGTCAACTTGTGATGTTTTTAACTGTCTTTTGCCACTGGATGTGCAAAATGAAATTCAGCTGCTATCAGGAGTCCTCTGTTATTCATGGCTACTTTGTCTATTGGGTTTTTGGTTGAGGAATACGTCGCTTGTCAAAGTCGGAAATCCGATTTCGGATGGCATCGTTTTCGTTTTCACCTTGCTTGATGCGTAAGGGGATTGCAAAGTCTGAAGCGATACTGTCTTTTCTTGATACCTTTCAGGAGCTGCATCTCGAATGGTAAGCCAGAGAAATTATTGTATTTGATGTTTGTTTTTTTGGATCTAATTTAATGAAGTCGAGTGGAGTTTATGCGGTCATTTAGTTTATGCACGTTTGTAAGATTTGAGACAATGATCTGACCGAGTATCAGATTTGATATAAGTTATCATAACTTTAAAAAGCTTTCAGGCAGTTTCTCACCGCAAATAGAAGGAAAACGTTCCACAGAATATTTAGTTATAATTCTGGCCGGAAAAGAAAGCTTTGAGCGATTTTCTTGCCTCGAGTTCTTCTTTGAAACAAGCAAACACCGGGAAGCCGGCTTAAAAAAAAGGCATAAACTTAAGCTTGAAGCTTGAAGACTCAGGAATTTTAGGGATACTTTAATACTTGTCTTCCTGAATGAAAATTGTTGTTTCTGTATATGTTTCACCGAATTATGTTTCTTTTATTGATTGTTAGTAGTCTCTCTTGTAATGTTAATCGCCGTGCCGAATGTTTTCAGTCGTTCAGTGAACATCGCTTGCAGGAGTACTCAAAATGCCGCACGTTAATAAACCATTAAATAAAAAATAAACAGAATAAATTCTTTATAATGTTGGAGCGTAACTCTGTTAATGTTCATTCAAACACTCGCCACAGCTCGCACTACAAAAGTGAGAACCGGATGGCCGTATAGGTGATTTTGGAAATTTTTTTAACAGTTTATGAATACTGAATGAGTGCAATTTGTTTTGTGAAATACTGCTTTCTGTCCGAGGTCTGCCGGTATGATAAAAACAGTGCCTCATACTACTGTTTCACCTCAGATGTGATGTATAAATGGTATAAAAGGTTGGTTTACACCCACCCAGATTTGTTGACAAGATTTTGCAAAGTAAACTTGTCGAACGCAAAAAAGTTGACCTGAATTTTTTTCCACTAATTAATCTACGGTGATCAAGAGCCATTATGGCTCTTAAATGTGATCGAAGATGATTACCAGTTTTTGGGTGTACATATCAGGCTATCAACTCGATGTAAGATTTGGTTCACTCTTGGGCTGTTTGCAAATTTTTTTCTCTAAAATCAGGTAGCCTTTCCCTCAAAAGTCACATAAATGTGCCCTAAAGTTAACTGAATTGTGGAATTCGAATACTAGTTTGTTTAATTCAAATTATAAATTTATTAATGGGAGCCTCGCTTTTAGCCCTGGCTAAATCTATATATTCGGCTTTATACTGTGAATACGTTTTTGGATTTCCCTTTCTTTCTGTATTATATTATTTATTTGTTTGTTTTCTTTGCTTTTTTTTCCTCGGCTTATTAGCAACCAACCTCATCAAACCCGAGATTAAATAAAGCTTCATTCATTCATTCATTCATTCATTCTTGGGGAGATACGAAAACAAACATAACCCAAACTTGTAGGCCATATTCAGTGAAATCAAGAACTGTAGGGCCTAGCTATTGGACAGCTATTAGAATGAAGTCGCCAGGGCTAAACCTCATAAATGCATGTCCCATGTGCAGCAGCTTGCAGCCAGTACTCTATTTCCCCGGAGCTTCGTGACGTTTTGAGATAAACTTGCGCGGAATTATCAAAGTTCCTTTTTTTAGCATCCTAGTCACCTTTACGCTTACCTTTATATTAAAATTTAGACCTCCAAAAAGGCGTGTGTTATACAAATAATTAGGAGGATATTAAACATTTACGGTGTTAAACAGCGCG